TGTATGATCGCTGGAACTGAAAGTACAGAAACATAAATACATCGAAAGGAAAAATGGATTATCATCAAATCACTGAGAGAGAGGATCAACAAGAACCTCTGTGCAGCTCTACATGAAACACGGAGTGTGGTTCAGATTGACCGCGTAGCACGTGCATAACCTCTATTAAGCTCTGTATGAAGGACGAAATCAGGCTTGACAAAAACAAGGGCTAAGAAATCCTTCAGAGTTCACGACGGACAATATCTAGCGTTACAAGACTTCTAAATCACGACGACCAATATGGCTACAAGTGTGAAATTCTTTTCAAGTGTTAATTGCTAAAATTAGCCAATGCTACAAGTTTGTATAAATTTTCCGTTGTCTTAGAAATAAACCAACTTTTGATAATGATTGTCCTTGGCTCTTATTAAATGAGAAAAACTCTAAACATTAACTCTGAAAGAAAACTCTGATCATTAACTCTGAAAGAAAACTCTGTTCATTAACTTTGAAACACAAGAATTCAGAATTCTATTGTTAGACTGGAAAATAACTCTGGAGTTAACTTTGAATAAGAGGAATTCAGAGTTGTCTTCTAAATCTAGAAAATATCTATGAGCATAACTCTGAGTCACAAGAATTTTGATTTCTTATAACTCAGAAACGTAACTATGAAGAGGAGTTTAGAGTTGTGTTCTAAGTATGGAAATAAACTATATGACTAAGTATGGAACATAACAATTCAGAGTTATGTTGTAAGTCTGAGAAATAACCAATATCTGATGACTTCATGTTGATGATTTGTATCACTAATGTCATTTAAGTGTAATGAGATTAAATTGTTGACCAATGTAATCATGATAAATATTCAACAGGTAAGGCAGGTGCAAAGTGGACACTTGTTTGAGTTTATTTTGATTTAGGGACGAAGCCCCTAACAGAAGGGGTCCGGGGGCAGCGCCCCCGGGTGGCGGGGTCCAAGGGGCGGCAGCCCCTGGCGGGGTCCAACTATATAAATTAATTAAATTTACATTATTATTAATTAATTAAGTAGTAAGAGTACATGTTCTTCTAAATTTTTTTCACGGGTAATATTGCTTTATGAAAAATGTTTCAAATTTTGAAATTTTAAACCCGGTTTTGATGAGTACTCCAGAGTTAAATTCAGACGTGAATTTTTCCAGAGTTATGTTGTAAGTTTGGGGCCGTAAGTGAAAATTGTGTTTTAGGCGGGAAAAATCAATAATCGTCACACAGAAACGTAACACATGTCCCCAAAGTTACTTATTTATTAGTACTAGAAGCGTACTCGCGCAATGCAGCGAGATATATCGTGATTTTAATATTTCATTTTATTCTCTATCCCAGTCGATGTTATAATATGGCTTTATGTGATTTTGAGAAAGCGGTGACGCTTTTATTTTTAAATAAAATATATGTTTGAATAAAATATATGTTTGAAGATATCATAAAAATTTGACAAAAATATATCGATATTAGTATCAAATTAACTATTTGAAATTCCTCATT